GTTTCAGAGCTAAGCGTAGTCATTCGAGATAAATACGTTCAATGTACAACTTTTTTTTTGGTTCACTGTATCTATGTTAATATATGTGATATGTACGTATTACATATCACATATATTAACATAGATACAGTGAACCAAAAAAAAAGTTGTACATTGAACGTATTTATCTCGAATGACTACGCTTAGCTCTGAAACTTTAACAATCCAAAGAAACTCCATTTTTCGAAACCAAACAAAAATTTTTACACTAAGTTCAAAATGATTAACTGGTTAAAAAGTTAACTATTTAATACAAATTAGTATTAAGTTCAGCAACCCTCGGTATCTGGCATGTCTCCAAGCCTTCTATTCAGAGAGTTTGTTGTATTTTAGAGCATACACAACGTAAGGTAAGCGTATTTATTTGAGATAAGTCTTTATTGTTGGCATGAAACCGAAGTATCTGTGTTTTAATTATTTTTAGTTTTATCTAAATAGCTTAACTAATGACAGAGATATTCAACTTTGAAGATGAGTACCTTCAGTGTACAACTTTTTATTAAACATAATATTTTTATCTAACGCTGTAATATTTGTTTTCAATTTCTATTAGATACATATACTGCAGGTCACTTGATTAGAGCATCAGTATTCATAGTTTTCTTTTTGTTCGTTTAAAAGTAATTAATTTTTTTGTAAAAATAAAGCCTAGTCTAACAAAAACCATGTAAATACGTAAACTTTGTACAACAGCAGAGTTTCTAATTTGCAGTGGCAAATAAAACTTCAGCGATGCCAACAGCAGTTCCTGCTTTTTGTTTTGATGAAATTACGTTATTTAATGAAAACCTAATAATTAAAGCAAAATCAATGCCTGACTTCAGATACATATTTGGATACGCTCTTGGATTTGCATATTCTTTGCATTTGTAAAATCACAACAATGAAATGCACACGCTTTGCATGGCAGTAAGCAAAAAATTTGCAAATGCAATTCCAAATGCAAATCGAAGTCCATTTCCACAACATCCTGGACAGCCCTACTATGTTTTTTAATCCCACTGGGCGATACTAGTTTTAATAAAAAATCCAAGCAGGGTGTTGAATTATTTAAGTAAAGGTGTCTTTTATCCACTGGACCTCTTCCATTCTCAAAGGTATTCCACATTTCTTGCGCATATAACTGCGGCTATGGCGACCACAGTGTATTTGCGTAGAAGTCGTTGAATTTATTAATTAATTACTGACTGAAAATTATAAAGTTAAGTTTCAAAATGAAGTTTGGACCCTTGACTACAAGTGCGTGTAGATTTTTTTTGGATCGGATCAACCATTCGGAAACAATAGCCCGTCATTGGGCAAATAGCTAAGCAGTACCCGTCAACCATCCACACTGTATTTGGGTAGAACTCGTTGAATTTATTAATTAATTACTGACTGAAAATGAATGGCTATTTATGACATGCAACGCCCGTACCGGAACTGCCCATATATTGAAATATATTTAAAAATACTTACCATATTAGTTTTTGAGGGCCTTCCTTCTGCTACTGGCTTCAAAAATCGGTCCGCCACCTCGAACCATGACAACCTTGGGACATACAAATCGTCCGTACCAGCCCCACTCTTTCTGGACGATGCCACTTTAGCTGCTTCCCTGGTATACATCGTACGCAAGCTCTTAATTTTTCCCTTTAGCTCCTCCGTAGACAGGGTTAGAGACAACTCCTGCTTTATGGCATTCAGAGCTGATGTTCGAAATGAATGGTTTTTGTACAATTTATTTCGCGGATCCCACAAACATGGGTGCTTTTCGTACACCTCCAAAAACGAAATCACATTAATTTTATTCATTTTAATTATATTTTTCCCAAATTTAATAAAACAAGCCACGCCAGAATACAATTTCAAAATGGTGGTATGTATACAGAATGTAAACAAACACAGGGTTGCACGGAAAAAAAGTTGAACGAGCTCAAAGTTGGCTGGCGACCAACTTTGTTGAAAGCGATTAGTTGAAAGGCCGTTCGAACGAGGCGATTTTTACTTTCAACTAAAAGTTGCCTGAAAAATCGCCTCGTGCGAAAGGCCTATATAGCGGACGAATAGCGCTATTGTTAATTTCGCTCGTTTAGGTTGTTCACAATAGTATATTTTTCTCCGCTGAGAAGCTATTTTTTTAAATCAGGCAAACTTAATAGTGTGCTTATCAATATTTATTTAAATTTGTGCAAACTAAAATGAAGTAAAAAAGGCGAGTTTATAAAAACTCGGTAAAAATGGGTACAACAGAGTTCTGTTTGACGATTCGTCAGAGGATAGGGGCTTAGTATAGTGGCCAGGAGTAGAAAATGTCTAAGGTTAGTCTTTTGAATATACTTTGACATACAATATATTTATAAATTCGTCTACGGATTTATTAAAAACTTCCGCATGTCTAAAGAGGTGTTTGTAGACCAGCCGTCCGCTACACAAAAACCTGCTGCAGCAATGCTTTCGAGCTAAATCTGTTTAAAATATTTTAAAACTATCAACATCTCCACGCATGAGTATTGGGATTTTCTTTCATGAGTGCAACCAGCCTTTCGATCATATGTTTAGTATTCACGACATTAGACCTGCATGATTTTAATAAAAATTGGTGTCTAGCCGCAAAAAAGCCATAAAACAAACGCAAAATCATATATTTTTCACAATTTTCTAACACTTCGCTGCAGCAAAATTCTGTTCGGCAGAAAATTCGATACTCAACGAAAACGGCTGCATAGCTCATAATACGAATTTCACATTCGATCATCGATAGCCAGTGAAGATAGAAAATCGAATGCAACTCATAATAAGAGCCATAAATCAGTTAACGTGGAGAAAGCTGCTGAATCATATGAATTCTAGTGAGAGCTTCTATTAAAGAGCGAGACCTGGATATTTGATAAATCGCCAAAGGCTCTGATACTGATTCCAGTAGAGACGTGGATAGCCAATCGATGAAAAAATGGATAAATATTTACAGATACCCCTTATACCCAGACAAGAAGGTCCTTACATTTGGTGGAATCATAGACGGCCGCTGTGGTGTAGCGGTTAGCCTAGGATCAAGTCCGGTTCAACCAAACATAAAAAAAGGTTTTCTAATACCCTCTGCCTATTTCTACCATTAAAACAGCTTCTCATAAAAATACAATCGCCGTTCGGAGTCGTCGTAAATCTGTAGGTCCCTCCCCTTGTGTTACAACATCAATTCGCATGCCACAAATCGGAGGAGAAGCCCGGTCAAACAGTAACAAATGTGTAAGCACCAATCTATTATTATTATAGTCGCAAAGAATTTCCAAATTTTTATACTGGTAATGAATTATCTCTACGAACCACCTTCCTCGGTGAACTCAAAAAGAGTGCTTAGTGCATCGGGTAGCATTTTTGTTGAAAATAGAAATGGGTTCTTGACCGGTAATACGGAAATACTTCTTTTCATAATGATAAATATATAAATTTGTAACTCCAATTATTAATAAGATACATACTATTAAATCTACTATATGAGAATCTCGTGTCACGGTGTTGGTGGTCGAACCCCTCTTAACTGCTTGACCGATCTTTATGAAATTTTTTGTGCATATATGGTAGGTATGAGAATCGGATGTTAAGTATATACTATATATTTCATACCGCTAGGTGCTGGGGGCGTGTCACTTCCCATAAAAACCGAATTTTTCATACTGCATATCTCTGAAAGTGTTCATGGTAGGGTACTCGAACATGGTATGGAGATATACGAAAAGAATCGCATACTCATGGAGAAAAGTTGTGGTTTTTGGAAAAGGGGGCGTGGCACCTCCCATACAAACCGAATTTTTCATACTGCATATTTCTGGAAGTGTTCACGATAGAGTACTAGAATTTGGCGATTAGGATGTCCTTATCCTAAAAAAAAATTCTTTATTTTTTCTTTTTGAATTTTACGTAATTTTTAGTAGCGTGCAGCTGTCATACTAACCCGGATATTCATACTGCATATCTCTGGAAGTGTTCATGGTAGAGTACTCGAACATGGTATGGAGATGTACATATGAAATCAATCCCATACTCTTAGTGAAAATTGCGGCTATTTTATAAGGGGCGCGACGCCTTTCAAACACACTGAAGCTTTACTGTCGTTGTATGCATATACACTTTTGCTAG